GGGGGACCTTGGGTCTCAGGTACGTTGCTTATTTTGGAAAAAGTAGTGGCATTAGGCCAGATCTGGTAGTTCATACCTGTAATCCCAGCACTTTGGAAGGCCAAGGTGGGAGACTGTTTGAGCCCAGGAGTTCATGATCAGCATAGGCAACATAGTAAGACCTCATCTCTACAAAATATCAAAAAATTAGCCAAGAGTGGTAATGCATGTCTATAGTCCCAGCTACTCGGGAGGCTGAGGTGGAAGGATGGCCTGAGCCCAAGAGGTCAAGGTAGCATCAGTGAGCCATGATGGTGCCACTGCACTCTAGCCTAGGCAACAGAGTGAGATCCCAACTCACAAAAAAAAAAAAAAAAAAAAAGAAGGAAACGCCAGAATTAGATTCTCTACCTCAATACAGAAAAACTCCCACTCAGGGAACTGCAAGCCATTCCTGAATTCCCCAAGACTCTCTTTCCCACCAAAGCCACAGGCCAACTACCACAAATCTCAGATCTGTGTTTGTCTATGGCTCAGAGGGAACCCCTGGGCCCCTGTGAGAACCCAAAATACTTGTCTAGATACTTGTCTAGATCAGTGGACTTCAAGTCTCTGGTCCTTTAGTTTTCACTGGCTGGAAAAAGAATGAGAAAAACAAAGACGGTGGAGATTTTCATAAACTCAAAAATATCAAATTTAATGTTCTGGTCTTAATTCTGAAATTTTGTATTTGCAGCATTTTTAGTGTCAGAATAGTCTTTCTTTCACAATAGATGATGAGATTTACTGAGTTTTTGCTCGTAATTAATATCTGCCTTCAGAAAAACTACAAGTTGATAACTCTGTATCAGTTCCCAACTTCTTTTCTTGTTTTTTCTTTTTTTCCTTTATAGAGACAGGGTTTCACTCTATCACCCAGGCCAGAGCACAGTGGCACAACCATGGCTCATGCTATCCTGGGCTCAAGCTATCTTCCTGCCTCAGTCTTCCATATAGTTGGGACTACAGGCACCTGCCCCTATGCCTCGCTAATTTTTTGATTTTTTATAAAGACCAGGTCTCGGTCTCACTTGGTTGCCCACAGTGATCTTGAACTCCTAGACTCAAACAATCCATCCTCCAACTTGGCCTCCCAAAGTGCTGGGATTACAGGCATGAGCTACCACACCTAGCTTTTTTTTTTTTTTATTTCATTGGTTGATGAACTCAATGCCTGGTAACTACTAAATCATGCTGTCCATGATTCCTCTACCTACAGTCTCTCAGAAGGTGACAAACTCCAACTGTCCCTTTTCTATTTCCCCAGAATCTTAGTATCTCACTCACGACCCTGCTGGGGTCTAACGCAACTCCTGCTTGCTGCAGCACAAATTCATGTCTCCTCTTCCTGCCTTCAGTAGAGAGTCACCCACCTGCTATGACCCCAGCTGCTGCATCTCAAGCCCTTCCCCAACTCGCTTAAGTCATCAGAATCAACACCCCTCTCTGCCTAGATGGGGAGAAATGAGGAACCACCTCCCAGTTCTGTGTAAGGCCTGGTTTCTCCGGGGTTTAGGGGGCGGAGACTGAGGAGGCAGGTGCTCAAGGCCAGAGTGGAGAGGGAGGGCTCCTGAGGGTCCCGGAGTTCAGCTCGGCCCCACCCCCTCTGCAGAGATGGGATAGCTGAGGTGCAGAGAGAGGAAGAGACCACAGCCAAGGTCACAAAGACAGTCAGCAGCAAGGTCAAGAGCTTTCCAGCATTCCTATGAATCCACTAGGGCCAATCCGTCATCACCCGCAGAGCGGCTCCGCACACCTTAGAAGGAAGCGGAAGTCAGGCATGGTGGCTCACACCTGTAATCCTAGCACTTTGGGAGGCCAAGGCCAGAGGATTGCCTGAGTCCAGGGGTTTGAGACTAGCCTGAGCAACATGGCGACACCACATCCCTACAATAAATAAAAAAAAAAAAAATTAGCAGCCGGGCTTGATGGCTCAGCCTGTAATCCCGCACCTTTGGGAGGCTGAGGTGAGTGGATTGCCTGAGCCCGTAGGTTCGAGACCCGCCTGGGCAGCGAGACCTCATCTTTACAATAAATCAAAAAATCAGCCGGGCGTGGTAGCGCATCCCTGTAATTCCAGTTACTCGGAAGGCTGAGGCGGAAGGATCGCCGGAGTCGAGGCTGTGGTTGGCCGGGAGCGGCCACTGCACTCCAGTCTGGGCAACAGAGTGAGACGCCAACTCAAAAAAAAAAAAAATTAGCTGGGCGTGGTGGTGCGTGCTTATGGTTCCAGCTACTTGGAAGGCTGAGATGGAAGGATCACTTGAGCCAGCGGGTCGAGGCTGTGGTGGCCAGGAGTACACCACTGTACTCCAGCCTGGGCGCCAGAGCAAGACTCCTACTCAAAAAATAAAAAAAAATAAAAAAAAATAAAAAAGGAGGTGCATTCCACCATTCCACATCTGCCAGGGTGTCCCCCATAAACACTGATGCCCAAATACAGTCCCTCTGTCCCAAGCAGGGGTCCTTCCCTTCCCTGAACCAAGCAGTCTAAGGACAGACCTGGGGCCATGGTAACAAAGTCACTAAACCCACTAAACCCTGTCACCTCCAAATCCCAAATTTCTCTAATAAGGAGGTATCCGCTTTCTGTTCAACTTTCTAGAAGAACCCACAGTGGGACTTGCTACCACAACCACCACTAGTGCTTGATGTCCTGACCCAAGGCCAGCATCTAGCCCAATTCTCAGAAAAGAAGTGTAACTAGCTTCTTTAGCTAATGGATCTTAGCAGCCTCAAAGGATACTCTTATCCTCTGGTACAAACTCCCACCAGCCTGATTGGTGCCTGACAGCCTGCAAGCTCCTTGACACATGTACATCTAGTTTCCTACTTGTATACTGCCAGTGATGGGGCGCTCACTACCTTATAGAGCAAGTTATTCCAATTCCACTTGGCTATACCTCTTCTTCCAGGAGACAATTCACCTGGCTAGCTGCATTTACCATATGCCTTCACTTCCTCAGGTAAAACAAGCCAATTCCTCCTTTAAACTCATCACACATGATGTGGTTTCAAGACTCCTCTCTTTTCAGGCTGACTTACCCTCCGAAGTATGACTAAGAGGAATAAAACCTACATGTGGCCCCCTCACTGTATTCAAAAGGGACCGTCACCTCCCTCGTCCTGGATAGAACATCTCCATTTGTAGCCTATGACCAAATTCTCTGATCCTAGGTCATTAGCCAAATCTACCCGTGACTCAGTCTACAACCAGCCAAAAGCCCCTGGTCTACCTCCAAGGAATTATAGGCCAATCAAGGACTTTGCAGCAAATCAGATGGGGTTGGAGACCCTCATACTTATGATCTATCACAGAAACAAAGAACTGACTACCACACAGTCTCACTGATAAGTAGGACTTGAACATGAATCACATGAACACAAGGGAGGGATCGGCAGTCACTGGGCACTGCCCAGGGAGGGAAGGAACAGGGCAAGTAAAAACACAAAGGAGCCAACTCGGTGGCTCAGTCTGTAATCCCGCGTTTTGGGAGGCTGAGGTGAGTGGATTGCCTGAGCCCACGGGTTCGAG